TTTTTTTTTTGGTGGTTTCTTCCTCCGGAACTGCGCAGCTGTCTTTGTCCCCGCCCGGACATTGTGCCTTCACCTCGGGGCGCTGTCTGCGTGACTCTGCTTGGCTCTGCGGGGAGGGCGGCCAGAAGTTCTGCCTTGCCCGTCGTTGCGATGATTGAACCTGGCAGGTCACCGTGGATCAACGTGGGGCGGTCGAACTACACGCGACGCCATGCGCTGCAGTGGAGGCAGTCTTGCATCGAATCCGAACCGGAAGGCAATGAAGCGATGCACAAATTTCGAAGCGCACGCCATCATCCAGTGTCGAAAGAGGCCCGCCGCCACTGCCTCCGTCACAGCTCGCGGCAGCAATGTCTCTCTCGGAGCTCCTGACGAGCCATGCATGTTCATCGTCACGGCAGCTTGCACGTCGTGTCACCCCTGCATGCCGATAGGTAGGCTTTGGCGGCCGTGCAAAAGCCTAGCAAGGCCGGATGTTATTTCCGAGTCCTCACTGCTCGGGTTATTGGTCGGCGCCCTTCGACAACACCGTTCGGTGAGGACCCTGTACCGAGGTAGGATTCCATCTAGACCATCGGCACTCATGGACCCGCGCTATATCCGCCGGCCTCACGCCCTGACAGCGGCCTCTTCGGGGTGGTGGTGCGGCGCGATCCGAGAGGATCGGTGAGATCGAGCCGGCACTTTTCTTGATCGATCTTTGCCGTAGATCACTCGATTCGGGTGGCACCGTCTCACCTCACTGCGCTTCGGCGGCGTCGATATCGTGGAAACATTCAAAAGGGACGGAGGCGGAGCGTGGGTAAGGATGAGCACACTTCCGCAGGATCGTTCGATTCCGGCGGTCTCCACTGCTGCATGGTCAAGTCTCTGCGTTGCCAACGGTACTGTTCATGATACCACCTTTGTCGCGGTCGAACGTGGACGAGGTTCCGGGGCACGTTGCGTGCGCACGACATCGCTTCGATCGTCCGGACACACAGAGCTCCAGCGCGAATGACGCGACTGCTGAACGACTCAGCCGCACCTCGCGGTGGATGATGGGGATTCTGCCTCGTGGAAGAGCTCCAAGCAAGTACCTTAGCAGTCATCGTCCGATTCGGAGAGCAAGCGAGGCGAATCTGAGCGAATCGGGCTGCGAACACAAGGCGGATACTCGTGCGACACGAGAAAATTCCAGTGTGGACTTTTTCAAACTGCCAAGAAGTGCGGTCGGCGCCAGCGGTGCCTAACCGACTGGACGTGCATCGCCGAGCGACAACCGGCCACTTTGCTCGCCTCAAGGATTCTTCCTCTCAGGCACGCCGCAGCCGGCATCAGTGCTTGGAGCTGCGCCCGACGCATGGTTGGTCTTGCCGCCTCCAGCGGGTGGCATTCTCAGAAGAGGAAAGGTGCATGGCCAAGAAAAAGCCAGGACCGATGGCGCTCGGCATCTTTTCCCATCTGTGAGATTGCGCTCGGCGATTCGCTCGACGGCAGCACGTCCCTGTCTCTGGCAAAGTTCCCACTCGCTCGGCGTACAGATGCCTTTCCGACACCGCTCCCTTCCTCTAGCTTACTGCTGCAGATCCTTTCTCTCTGCCGACCCTCATCAAAATTCCGTCTACGGTACGCTGAGGAAAGACGAGTGCCTGTCCATGATCGCCGCAACCAACACTTGCCGCTCTTCCCGAGGTGCGCGTCTCGACCGCGTGTTGGCTGCATATCGCGTCTCTTGCTTCGCCGCTGCCCGCCCTCTGTTGCGGCGGTCCGGAGTGGTGATGCGTACCCGGGTCGGTTCGCACAAAGCTCGCACCTGTGTTCTCGTTCCGATCGTCGAAGGGCATAGCCGAGATATTGCTTTGCCCCATTGTGCCGTTGTCCTGCTCGTACTGGGTCGTGCCGTGCCTGAACATCGAATCCGCCATTTCTGCGCTCGAACGCAGCGAAGGAGGTGAGAATGTGCTGCACGAACACACCTGTGGCCCCAACGCGAAGAGACAGCGGAGGCTCAAGGCAGCAACCAGCCAAAGACGCAGGGCCGGAGACGCAGGGATACAGACCGTGCAACTCCGACGTTGGTGCCTTTCTCCTTGTCGGCTCCGCCTTCAAGTTCGCTCGCGTCCACCACCATCTCCCCTTCTCTTACGCTCCACCCGTCCTCCTTCGCATCCACGGCTCGACCCACACTCCTTTCTTTCTTATTTTCGCCTGAGTCCGGTATCTCCTAGGTCACTTCCCCCCCCCCCCCCCCCCCCCCCC